CTCAGATTTTGTTCCATCTGTATAGAACTTTGTATGATCTTCATACAATTGAGCCAGTTCATAAAATTCTTGCAGAAGCACAGCACTCGGAGTGTTTTTCTTGTTATACAGTGCAAGAGACAGGTTGCAGAGTATGTCAGGGTGCTCCCAAGGTGCTATGATGCCAGAAAATTCTACTACCTAGGATGCCACATCTAATCCGACAGACTGGGCCAAGGTCTTCAGTCGCATACTGAACGGAGGGATCACGCTAGGTTTTGCGAGAAAGAGTCGTTCCGAGCGTGTATCTTGAACAACTTCTCGAGTAGGGTGCTGGAGGACAGATCGGATGCGAAGAGAGTACATCATGCCCAATGCGAATCTACGTTTCTCGAGGCAGCACTCGTTAGCCTCTGCGTATAGACTGGGCACAGGTGATGTACGAAATGCACCTGTGGCCAACCGAAGCCCAAAATGATGAATGGGATCCAACATCTTGAGAACAGACTGCCTGGCAGACCCATAAACAAAGCAGCCATAGTCTAGTCGAGAGCGTACCAAACAACGATAGATCCGCAGGAGGCACAATCGATCCGAGCCCCAAGACCGGTGAGAAAGAACTTTAAGGATATTGAGAGACTTGTGCGCTTTCAGTTTCAGGCTTTTTACATGAGCATTGAAATTCAGTTTACTATCAAACGTAAGACCCAAAAATTTGTGCTGAGGTTGAACACTAACATTACTATTGTAGATTGTTAGGGATGGTTCAAGAAGGATTCCACGTTTGCGGGTGAAGCAAACAGATGCAGCCTTTTCAGGAGAGAACTTAAACCCATTACTGTCAGCCCACTCAGTTAGCTTGTTGATGCCTAGCTGAACCCTGCGTTCACAGACTGAGAGGTTACAGGAGGAAACTGAAATTTGTAAATCATCGACGTAAAGTGAATACTGAACCGACGAAGGGATTACAGAAGCAATGGAGTTCATTTTAACTATAAACAAAGTAACACTTAGTACTCCCCCTTGCGGCACTCCATTTTCCTGCAGAAATTCACGGGAAAGTGTGTTCCCCAGCTGGACTCGAAAGGTGCGCCTGTCTAAATAGCTCTGAATGGCACGAAGCATGCGACCACGTAATCCGAGGTCAAACAGGTCCCTCAAAATGCCAAAGCGCCAAGCCGTGTCATACGCTTTCTCGAGATCGAAGAACACGGTAAGGCAGTGCTGCCCGTGTGCAAAGGCCTCACGCACAACAGTTTCGAGACGGACCAAGTGGTCGACTGTGGACCTTGATGAACTATAGCCGCATTGAAATTTGTCGAGTACCTTACCATGCTCCAAATAGTACATTAGTCTGCGATTAATCATTCGCTCCAATGTCTTACAGAGACAGCTGGTAAGAGCAATGGGCCTATAACTGGAAACGCAAGAAGCATCCTTACCAGCCTTCAAAAGTGGAAGGACATGAGCTACCTTCGAAGATGAAGGGAAATAGCCCTCCTGCCATATGCGGTTATAAAGATATAAAATTACATCGAGTGTTGAAGGATGAAGATGCTGTAGCATTGAATAATGCAAACCATCTGGTCCAGGAGCTGAGGACTTTGTGTTGTGAAGAACTGCGAGGAGCTCGTGCAAGCTGAATGTAGCATTATATCCCTCCTGTTCACCTCCTGAGGTTTTCAAGGGATTGCTTTCAGCCTTCAGCTTGTGTCGAAGGAAAGTAGATGAATAATGATGTGAACTGGATATATATTCAAAATGTTCTCCAAAAATATCAGCTTGTTCCTCGAGTGTGTCTGGGCATTTTCCATTCCTAAAAAGCAGGGGGATTTTAAATGCATGGCAGGAACCATTGATCTTGTGTATTCGATCCCAGACTTCCTTAGGTGAGGTACTGCTATTTACAGTGGAAGCATACCCTTGCCAACTTTCCCGTTTCGCTTTTCTTCGGACGTAGCGTGCACGGGCCTTCATTTTCCGAAAGGATATGAGGTTATCTCTAGTGGGGTACCATCTCAAAATACCCCAGGCCCGATTTTGTTTCTTGCGTGCCTCTTCACATTCCGAATTCCACCAGGGCTTTGGCCTCCTAGGAAGAAATTGAGATGTCTGCGGGATGGACAGCTTGGCTGCTGTGATAATACGCTCGGTTAAAAGATGATTGAGTTCGTCAATTGTAAGACTTTCGAGACGAGCATATGCTAAAAGCGATGCCTGCTTGAAAAGGCCCCAATCAGCCTTGTCAAGCTTCCAACGAGGCGGGCGTGTATGAATTAAAAGAGGGGCTATGCTACAGGTTAAAAGAGTAGGAAAATTATCGCTTCCACGTGGATTGGAATCCACACTCCGGGAAAAATCTGGAAGTAAACTAGCAGAACCAATTGAAAGGTCGATGGAAGTTGATGACAAGGATGATGGACTAAAATAAGTAGGCTGGCCCGTATTAAAAAGACAAAGACTTCGTGTGGTTAAAACTGACTCAACAATTTTTCCTCTGACATCCTGACGTGTGCTCCCCCATAAAGGGTTGTGACAATTAAAATCGCCCATCAAAAGGAAAGGCTCAGGAAGCTGGTCTAACAGCGAGTTAAAATCTGAACATTTTAAAGTAAGGGAAGGTGGCAGATATAAAGAGCATACTGTAAGAGCCTTATGGTGCAAAAACCGAACAGCCACTGCTTCAAGTGATGTGGACAGTGGAACCTCTGTGCAGGGAACTTCTCTTGGGAGAACCACCGCAACTCCCCCAGAGGAACTGACAGAGCTCGGACGATCCCTCCGGAAAACCTGGTAACGTCTGAGGAAATTAGTATGGCTGGGACTCAAATGAGTCTCTTGCAAGCACAGCGCTCGTGGCTTGTACTCCTCCAGAAGATGCTCTACATCATCCAGGTTTCTTAGAAGGCCACGACAGTTCCACTGTATGAGTACAGAAGCCATTTTAGGCACGAAAACCGGAGCACATGGAAAAGTGAGTCAGTTACCTCACTTCGGAGGAGTTACGAGTTTTTTCGATTTTTGTTTCTTTGTAGTCTGCCACTCCATCTCATCCTGGTCAGAACCCGGAGTCGATGAGGGGGCAGACAAGGCAGCGCCAGTGTTCTCCTGAGCCTCGCAGGCAGACTTGCCTGCTAGCCCGGGAGGGTCTGTACCGCGGGGCCCCAATCCGCGACCACGACCAGAACTAGGTGGAAAGGTGGTCGATGTGCTGGGGAGGAGTTCTACCCCGTCCATCTGTTCCACCTCCTTTCTCGGCAGGGAAGCTGCGTGCGAACCACGCAGCTCCTTGGTTGCTGGCTGCCTCTCCAGGGACTGAGGCCGAGGGCCTCGCTTCTTCTCCTCCTCCCTAGGAGAGCGGCCAGTGTTGACAGGTGCAGACAGTGCTGGCCTGTCCTGAGCAGAGGAAGCAGCTAAAGCGCCCTCTCTGCGAGAACAGGAAGCCTGCTGACCCTGCGCCGCAGTCTTGAAGGGTAGGGCGGGCACGGCTATTGCCGGCCCACCTTTGCCCAGGGGAGCAGCATGCTGCTCCTGTCGAAGGGATGGGGCCCTTAGGTCAGCCGCCAAGATCTCAGGAGAGACCTGGGTGGCCCTAGTCTCCAAGTGTGGTGCAGGGCCCCTTCGCACCACCTCGGCGTAACCTCCTTTTGAGAGGAAGGACAGCTTCTTCTTAGCCTCCAAGTAGGTGATGTTCTCCTTTGCCTTTAGGGAAAGAATTTCTTTTTCTTGACGCCAAAGGGGACAGGTGCGGGAGTAAGCTGGGTGGGGCCCACTGCAGTTACTACAGCGGGCCGCTGCCTCGCAGATGTCAGCAACATGTTCCTGGCTTCCACATTTTGCACAAGTTTCTTTCCCTCTGCAACTGCGTGACCCATGCCCAAAGCGTTGGCAGCGGAAGCACCGTTGCGGGTTGGGGACATAGGGACGGATGCGGCACTGGAGATAACCTGCCTTCACAGTTTCAGGGAGGGTGTGTCTCTCAAAGGTCAAGATCACGTGCTTTGACGGGGTTTCCTTGCCATCCTTGCGGAACATAATACGTTTAACGGCGACAACACCGGCATCTTTCAGTCCTTCCAGGATTTCTTCCTCGCTAGCATCGAGGAAGTCTTCTTCAGAAAGGACTCCACGGATCGTGTTGAGCGTCCCGTGAGGACTCGCGGACACTTCGACGTCGACTATGCTGGTCATCTTGGAGAGTGCTTCACTTTGGGCTTTCGTGTTTACTTCAACGAGAAGGTCGCCGGAGTGGAGTTTTTTTGCTTTGTACGAGAACCCAATAAGGTTTTCTAGCACTTTGGCTACCACAAAGGGGGACAATTTGGACACTGGCTTTTCTTCAAGGTTCGAGTGAATCACAAAAAACTTTGTAAATGTTCCCATTTCAGGGGCTTTTCCAATGACTTGGGGCTCAGGGCGAGGCCTCTTGGAGGCCTGCCTTGAACCGGGTTTAGAAGGGAGGGGCGCCATATGAAGGGCAAAAAACTTCGGCGTCCGTAGCGCAGCACCCACCACGGAGTCCAACAAGGGGATAGGTAACATCTCATAACAGGTCTGGCTTGTCTGAGTATGTTACTCTATCAGTGCTACCAGGATGCTATAACCAAGTGTGGGTCAAGAAAGAGTTCTGTCGCCACCCAAGGTTAGCCCTTGCCGCCAAAGAAGGTGAAAACGAAGAATAGGAGAAAGGAGGAAAGAGAAAGAAAAGAGGGGATAGAGAAGAAGTGGCGACTAGACTGAATCATCCTGGCCGGGCCTTACCAGGACTCCCGTCTATGAGAAGCGGGGGCCGAAGTGGTGTATTGCCTCGCCCGGGGGGCCCCGAAGGGTCCAAACCTACCCCGGGCTCGGCTCAACCACCAGGATGCCCTTTTCCCCAGACACGGGACAGCCACGCACAGCCAGACGTGGGCGGGCGAACCCGCACGGCTCGGGGTCCGTGGAGACGCCACTCTCCAAACACCTGCTTTCACAGGTGCCCCCTGCGGGCGGTTTCAGTGAGACGGAGTATAGGTCTGACCAGAGGAAAATTGGCGACTCCCTCGCCGGGGGATGTTGTTTTTAGTTGTTTTTTTGCCCGATCCCCCAAAAGTCATCCGGGTGACAGTTACGAAATTGCAGAGTTTAAGTGTGATGTACCGGTTAATTTGGGATAATGCAAGGATACGTTGGTGTTACGAGAAGCGCCTTTTCCAGTCTGCGACCGCGCCCAGTCTGTGGCTTCCAGGCATCCCGCGCTTCTCCGTGGCTATACAACTCGGCTCTCTTCTGCCGGTGTCTCCGGTTGCATCCGCCGTTGTTTAGGCTCAATAGGTCCTGTTCGCTAAACGTTCCAAACACGCACATAATACACGGCAGTAAGCAAATTGGCGAAGGAAAGAAATCATATATACTTTTGGTTCTTAACTTCTAGGCCAGGCGGCGCAAGCTACCGCCCGTTATAAAGGGTACAGCCATTAGCCTCCATCCATCCGGGATACCCGATTTTCAACATTGAGTATTCATCACCCCAACCCAAATCGCAGTGAATGAACTTCGAGACATCTTTATTTAACTCCGTGAAAAATAAAACAATTCTATAGCATGCATACAGTTTTCGAGGTGTTCATGCATGTAATCATTCGCAAGTCATTAGCTAATGTGTCTTCTTTCCAGATGCACAGTGAAACAGACTCGGACAGTGTTCCCCAAGTGGAATTCCGCCGCTTCTTACTCAGATGCTTGATTTGCTCTTTGTGAATCCATCAATACATCACGAATATTAGTCAAAATCGGGAGTACTGCTCTAACAGCATCATCTGAGACATCACCCAACAAAAGGGTATCTAATATGTCTTGCGCGTAAAACATACCCTCTTCTTTTACCAAGAGCCAAGTGCGACGTCCGGAACATAGTGATCCCGGGCCCACCACTGACGACACAGCTCCGTCTGGAGAAGCGAGAGGAGGTTGACCGGTCACAGGCTTCCCGCTTGTCGGATGACGGCCCTCGTGGCGGTAATGGTTCTTCTGGTAAGTCACCTTGATGCCGTCAGCATTTATGACCTTGAGCATTACTGAGAGACAGTGCTGGCCGCTCGAGTTGCACTGACGGTGGCTGGCAGGCAGGCCTCTCTTATCTTCTCCCTTGTGCTGGTAACATCGGTAAGACTGCATGCTAGCACCACTTGCTCCTTCCACCTTCTTGAGGTTGCAAATATAGCTCACCCCTCCTTCTTCTTCTTCCTTCTTTTTCCAGAGAAGAAATTCTGTAATGATAGAACATCGAAGCACATTTAATCTACGTGGAAACTACGAATGATGATGACACCAACACATACAGTGATGGAATATGTACGAAAGTCGGCGATGATTACTCGTAAAAGGTCTGGTGTGACTATGGTTTCCTGTTTGAGCTATCTACTGGCAAACAAAACGCGCATATGCCCGGCAAAAGTAAATAAAAAAAAAAGTATCTCAAAATTGCCCTGTAATTGTGTTGCTACGGGAAACGTTCTTGATTTAGTGCTAGTAACCTTGAGGCCTTCTCGAACTGCGCCTCCAGGTCTCTCCACTTCTCTCCACCCTATTAACCCGTTGGCTACCCCCGTCGGGTCGGCCTGTGTCCACAGAGTATGGGGAATGCAGTGATGGAAGCCGCATTTGACGTTTTGTAGCAGGTTCTGTAGCAGGCAAAATATTTGTTTCGAGCAGTTACTGACGCTTCTGGAGCAGATGCCAACATTTGTTAGCACATCACCTGAGAAGAAAAAAGTGATTGCATTTCTATATGAGTTCATTTATGATAGTGATTAAACGTTCCTGTTTGATACAAAGACTTATCTGTCAAAGACCCCCAAAACCAGAAAGCGGCCCGCCGAAAAACAGCTTTCGGCACTGGTGAAAACAAAAGCTCTTCATCTGCTGTTACCAGCGAACGTAGCAGCGAGCACGCATACTGTGACTAGGCCTCTTGTGCAACGTCAGCGTGCGATGACAACAGCATGGATGTGACGGAAGGTCAGAAAGAAATCGATTCTTGCCCACCAACGACCGCTGCTTCCTCATTCATTACCGCGTTTGATCACCTACCACTGTCATGCTTGCCGTCCAACTCGCGGGGATTTCACAAACTTGAAATGGGCAACGTGAAAAGCGTCGTACCCTCACAAATGCAGCACGCAAAGGGACCTTGCAACAACTGGCAATCGGAAGAATGCGCTTCGGGAACAGTTGGTCCGGCCGTGACCTTTGTGGCTTCCAAACATGTAGAGATCGACGCAAAAATGCAAGTCACCACAGTCCTGATGGGAAAAACAGTTTCCATGGCCAAGCTTCAACACACAGGTTTCATGTCAACTCTTGACGACGTCAAGGCTTTCCTGGAGCATGTGGATAAAGTCACGCTTTGCACTGATAGACCAAGCACTAGGGAGTGAGCTGTGCCGGAAAGTGCATTTGTTGACATTAATGGCAATGGCATCACAAAAGGTGTTTGTTGATCCTTAATGTGGACGCGTCGGTTTGTCAGAGATGCCTCAGCCTGTCAGACACCCTGCGAATCCGCCAGAAAAGAGCAACAGAGAGAAAAAGCATAACAAAGCCAGCTGGTGTTTGTTGTGTTTCTAAGACCATGGAGTACTCGCAGCCGTTACGAATAAACCTTTAGTACATATAGAACAACTATTTACAATCAAGGTGATTCCGGTATCGGCAGACGGCAGCGTTCGGCTGGCTCGCTGGCTCGCGTCGGTCGCTCGAGCTCGCTTCTTCCTCGTCGTTCCGTGTGTCCACTTCGGGACACAACACTCCCTCAGACTAATCACAGTCCGTACCGAGACACCGGCTTGCGTGCTCTCGAGGGGTATCGGCGTTCAGCGCTTTCAGACGTTGTTCGGGCACCCGGAGAAGGGACAGTTGCTTTTAAATCTGGTTTCCCACGTTCCGCTGATGTACTTTCCTCCGGTTCGGGATTGAACAGAGTATCTGACTCGGATTCCCCGGTGCCTGCAACTTGGCTTGGTCGGCGAAGAAGTTGGTTGACGTGTCGTTTCCAAACTCCGTTGGGCACCTTGACCTTGTAGTGCGCTCTCCCAAGACACTTCAGAATCGTGCCTGGAATCCAACTTCTCTTTGCCTTTCGGTAGTCTCGCACCAAAACCCCGTCTCCCTCTTCAAACTTCCTTTTCGGTTCTTTCTGAGCTTGAAACTCCGATAACTTCTCTGGGTGAAGTAGATCCAATCTCGTTCTAAATCTCCGCTTGAACAACAGTTCTGATGGTGCGAAACCAGTGGATGTGTGTGGTGTGCAACGATAAGCCATCAGAACTCGGGAAAGCTTCGTTTGTAATGACCCTTCGGTCTGTTTCCGCAGTCCTTGCTTGAGCACTTGTACTGCTCGTTCGGCTGCACCATTCGTTGCGGGATGAAACGGAGCACAAAACTTGTGTTGGATTCCATTTCCCCTCAAAAATTCTTCGAAAACCTCAGAATGAAAGGGTGGTCCATTGTCCGAGACTATAGTTCGCGGTAGTCCATGCAGTGCGAACAACTTCCGCAAAACTTCCACGACTTTCTCCGCAATCGTGCTCGACATTATTTCCACTTCCAGCCACTTAGAAAAGGCGTCGGTGACAACTAGAAACCTTTCCCCTAGGAACGGGCCAGCAAAATCAATATGCAGTCTTTCCCAGGGTTGTTCGGGTGTCGGCCAGTGGAAATACTCTTGAACTGGTTGGTTCCGAAACTTCTGACACAGAGAACACTCTTCGACTGTTCTGACAATGTCATTGTCTATGTTGGGCCACCAAGCATGCAGTCTTGCCAGACTCTTCATGCGCACAATGCCGTCATGTACCGCATGAAGCTCGTGCAGTACTCTTTCTCGGCATGCCTCTGGAATAACAACTCTTCGGCCCCACAATAAGCATTCTTCCTCCACCGTAAGTTCCAACTTCCTCTTGAAGTATACTTCCATATCTGGACTTACGTTCTCAGGCCATCCGGTTTGAGTGAATTTCAGTGCCTTGGTGTACTGTTGGTCTTTCTCTCCTGCCTCCTGCAGGGTCTTCGTGTCTACTGGACACAGGTCTAGCTGTCCCATGTAAAAACTTGTGGCATAGTCGTTCACCTTTTCTTCTTGTCCATCAATTGGCAGGCGAGATAGGGCATCGGCGTTGAGATTGTCTTCTGATTTCTTGCAGACCATTGTATATTGGTATGCTGACAAAAGCATTGCCCAACGTTGCAATCTTGCAGCTGCTATTGTTGGAATGCCTTTCTTGGGTCCAAGGATGGTTGCCAACGGCTTGTTGTCGGTTACCAAGATGAAGTTACGTCCATATATGTAGTCATGGAATCTCTTCACTCCAAAGACGATCGCTAGAGCTTCCTTCTCCAGTTGAGCATAATTTTCCTCTGCTCGAGCAAGTGTCCTTGATGCATAAGCAAGAGGACGCTCTGTCTTGTCCGGATACACGTGCGCTAACACGGCTCCAACTCCTACTGGGGAAGCGTCGCAAGACAAAATCAGTGGTAGCTCTGGATCATAGTGAGCCAACACTGGGGCTCTGCTCAAGATTCCCTTGAGTTCCTGGAATCTCCTGTCGCACTCTGGTGACCAGTTCCACGGCATGTCTTCATGCAGCAGAAGCGTGAGCGGCTTTAGAATCGTAGACAACTTGGGCACGAAACGTCCGTAGTAGTTTACAAGTCCCAAGAACGATCGTAGCTCGCTCACATTCTTGGGAACCGGTGCTTCCTGTACAGCCTGGACCTTTTTCCTCATTGTGCTTATTCCAGAACCGCTAACTGTATGTCCCAGGTAGTCCACCTTGTCTTTCATGAACAGGCACTTCTTTTTCGCTAGCCGAAGTCCACGATCCTTCATGCGCGTTAGTACTTCGTGCAGTCTCTCTAAGTGCGTTGTATCGTCCTCTGCGGTTACCAAAACGTCGTCCAGGAACACGCAGACACCTGGAATCCCTCCCAATAGTATCTCCATTTGTTTCTGGAAGATAGCAGGGGCGGAGGCGATTCCATAAGGTAGACGCTTGTATCTGTAGAGTCCCTTATGCGTGTGTATGGTGACGTACTGGCGAGACTTCTCATTCAACACCAGTTGCTCGTAGGCGTGTCTTAAATCCAACTTAGTGAACTTCTGCCCACCGTTCAAAGTCGTGAACAAGTCACTGGCTGTTGGCAGAGTGTACTGGTCCACTTCAAGTTGTGGATTTACCGTGAGTTTGTAGCCGCCACAGATCCGGACCTCTTTTTCTCCTTTTGGAATGTTGACTGTAGGCGTTGCCCATTCACTGTAGTTTATTGGCTCGATGACGTCTCTTTTTACCATGTCATCTAACTGTGTTTCGATCAGATGCTGGAGTGCATAGGGAAGTTTCCGGCTTTTCATGAACTTTGGTTGGGCGTCTGGCTTCAGCTGCAGATTGACTTCAACTCCTTTGAAGCACCCTAGTTCCTCTTTGAAAAGTTCTTGACACTCGGCCAGGATGCCTTCTAAGCAATGCGCATCTTTCACAGTATTCACCTGGAGTGCTGGCATCCATGTCTCGTCCAGGACTTGTATCCAATTTCTTCCCAACAGTGGTGGCACCTCTGCATTAATCACGACTAGTGGCAGCGTCCAGGTCTTCTGATTGCTTGTGACCTGGACATCCGCAGTACCACAGACGTTCAAGCTTTGTCCTGAGCAAGTGCGAAGCTTGGTCCTGAAAGGCTCCAGCGTGCGAATCTTCAGTTTTCCTTGCAGCCGCTTTGGAATCACTGTCACCGTAGCTCCGGTGTCCACCTCCATCTCCAGAGTCACTTCATTAATAAAGACGCTTTTCTTGAGGGGTGGCACAGTCAGTATTTCCGCGTTTATTCGCAGGACTAAATATTCGTCCGCTCTCTCTTCCTTTTTCAACTGTTGCACCGCTCCTTTTCCTTTCTTGGCTGGTCCCTTGCGTTTGCCTTTTCCACGCTGATTTGACGTTTTCCCTCTTTGTTGCACGCTGCTGTTTTTGCAGGCTTTCCGCAGGTGACCCTTTTGTCCACATGCGTCACAGTCGTAGCCCTTGTAGCGGCAATCTTGAGGAGTGTGGTTGGTTTTGAGACAACGCCAGCAGGCAGCGCTTGTACTTGCTAGTTGTTTCACCTCGTCTTCAGCGGTGGCGCGCGCATCCTTGAGAATTTTCATTTGATCCTCAGCCGCTTCCAATCCCGCTACTAATTCCACAGCTCGTGTCAGAGTCAGATTTTCAATTGTCAG